TCCTTGCTTTTCAGAATTAGCCAAACAGCCTTCACTGTCGCTTGAGCGCATTTCCATAAGTTGTCACAGATTATAAATGTACCTATATAGACATGGCAGTGTTAGATGATTATCTCATTTTAATACTATATAATTGAACTTATTTCTCATTTTCACAGAGACGAAGAAGGCAATGATATCACTGATTTTTCAGTTTATGACGAATATCTTGACAAAGTAGACAGACACGTTGAAGAATACCTGGAAGCAAGGAAAGAAACAGAATTGCCAGATATTCCAGCTCGTGTTGGTCTCCAGTTAATGGGATGCAAAACTGAAAAACAACCGATCAGGAAAGTAGTTGAATACTTCAACTTTGATTTCGAGTATGGAAAGCGCCCAGAACTGACGTCTTTCTTCCAGCTGTCTGAGGGAGGAGATGAATTCTTTGTCTCTGACCAGCGCGGGTTTTGGTCAATGTTTGAAGATATCTATCAACCCTTGACCGACCGAATTTTATTGGGCATAACCGTGACAGAAATCAAGTATTCTGACACATCATTTGAAGTTACCACATCCAATGGCGACAAAGTTATCGCAGATTACGCTCTGTGTACATTCAGTACTGGAGTGCGACATAGTGACTTTTAACCCACCCCTCCCTGAATGGAAAAAGGAAGTGATCTTTAAAAACCCGTTGACGGTTTACACGAAAATCTTCCTGAAATTTCCAAGCAAATTCTGGGACGATCACGAATATATCCTGTACGCCTCTGAAGTGCGCGGTCGTTTTCCCGTGTTCCAAGACTAGGAAAGACCAGGCATTTTACCAAATGGAAGCAACATTTTATTGGTCACTGTGACGGAGGACGACGGGAGAAGGATTTAACGACAAGCATACAATGAAACCAAGGCAGAGGTCATGAAAATGCTTAGAGAGATTTACGGACAGGGGATTCCTGATGCAACAGGTAAGGATAAGCAACTTTAACTTTAATATTGGGCAGCAAGAACCTCCTTTACTTGCACCCTTTTGGTAGTAGTTACATTTCAAGGGAAGAATTGTGTGGAATAAAAAACAATGGAGGCAGAAAAATTTATTAGCTGCTACAAATAAGAGAGGTACAGTGTCCGAGGTAGAATTAAGGCGTTAACCTGGCTACTACCAAACAAGTAAAGGCTTGTCTCAGATTTGCGCGAAGCCACGCACAGCTGTTTCAGTCTATACGCATCGCACTCTCAAAAATGCGCTGGGTGTCGCGCTGGGGGTAGGGGGAGTGGTCATTTTGAAATGCATGGTATTACGGAATTATATATTTGTCATTTTTCACGATATGCGTTTCGGAAAAATCTCTGAAGAAATTTAATTTAGTCGGTGAAGTCATCATCCAGCCGCGACTCACAACTTTTCCAGGGTATTTGTGTTGTTCTTAACATAGCGGTTTTCACTTGATATTCGCATTTGCTCTGCTTTTCATTACTTCGTTACGCGATTGCCTTAAAAAACAAAAACTCGCGCCATTTACTCGATCAGAAGTGAAACGAAAACCAATCGTGACTCGCTCGCATACGTTTTCCCGCGCTTCGCGTCACCTACATGTATTTTCATGGAATTTTGATTGGTTAAGTGCGTTGGTTGTCTGCTTCCCTTGTGATTAACCAGAATGATTACTTTCGTTTCCGTACTCATCCGCTTCGTTTAGATACTCATCCACTCTATCCAGCATCTCTACAGCCTGCGAGATCGAGCATCCGGTTTTTTCGGTTCTTGTTTGGTGCGGTGCCGAGAAAGATCGATTTCCGTGACGTTAAAACTTTTGTTTTATTGTTGACCAATAAAATTCATCGATAGAATGTGACACTCAGACGAGAACCGGCGACAATTTTGCGTGAAATGGGATTGATAGACCTACACGACTCTTGCGGTTCATTTAAACATTTGCCGTTATCTTTGGGGTTTCGGTCTCTCGATCTTTGTTTGCTTTACACGTGTTCCTGAAGGGCACTTTACGCTGTTCTTTTAGGAGGAATGTTAAGTAGAGTGGAGTCGTTAGACTGTACCATGGCAAATTCTTTGGAAACCACACGAAAAGTCGAGGAGGCTTGTCGTTTCAATTAGTATAGGTAATCATACAGTTCGGAGTTCAGTTTGGAATTAATTTGCACAAGTGAGTTTTTCAGCTTTTTGAACTGAAAACTCACAAGTGCTAGTTAACTCCAGATGGAACGAGAAAAACCGTATGATTTCTGATAAATAATATAAACGTAAAAAAATTTCCGTGGCGGAAGTGCCGGAAGATCTTTCTTGAAGCCATTTTTTCTCATGTAAGAAAACTGTTTTCAAAGTTTTTCGTCATCATTTCAAGTGATATCATTGGCCTAGAAAATTTCCTTTTGTCGTTCAGCCAATCATAACCCAGAATTACGATGTGTAATTTGCACTGGTGTTACACTTGAACTGCACTGCTCTCAGCCAATCAGAATCGAGTAATTTTTTTATCATATTATTAGGGGTGTAATTCAAAGATTTTAGTCTTGCTGTACTGAACCTGTTCAGGACGAAACGTAAAGGCTCTATGTTTAGCTGTCAAAGTATCTTTTAGGGTACACTCGAAGAAATAACAAACAAAAAACGTCTTCATTTCTCATTTAGGAGCGGTTTGCTTACTTTCATTTTATATTGTGACACCGGGCCCGGCCATTTGATTAGATCGAACTGTTGTAAATACACTATGTGGCTTCTTATTCGGCTACGTCGGAGTCTGCTACATGTATAGCTTCACTTCAAGAGAGCTATTCGTTTGTCTAAGGGCTGACGTTCTTTGTTTCTTTGTCTCTCGAGCTCGATGTTTATGTTTGTACCTCAGTTCTTCGTTCTGGCATCACCAAATGAAGCTGCTCTACATTTGGGCAAGTCTGTTAACTGTTTTACGTGTTGTATGTGCCACTGTTTGGCTTCTCGGAAGTTGGATTCACACAAGAATACACAATAGGTAAAGCCTTAAATATAACAGACTTTCCACGTCCAGTTGGAAGATTAACGGAAAAAAAAAATCGCTCCTCTAGCTATTCAGCAACAAAACGCAATACTTCCTCTTGACGCTTATTTTCGCTATCAAACCCGAAAACTTCACAAACTTTCCTGAACACGATGAACGTATCTTCCACCTTTTTCCAGGCACGATCTCTGCGTGTTACTTCTTCGGATATGCATGGTGAAATGTAATTGGTTAACGTAACGGAAAACGTTCTAGTCGCTCATCTTCGCAGACGGTTTTTCTCGGCGCATGAAACAAGTGCCAAGAAAACCCGGACGCTCTGGCAGGCAAGCATCCTAACGAATTGCTTACATTTCTTAACGCGTTTTGTCCTTTTAGCGATTTACTATTACCGCTGGTCACGGGACCCGTTTACCCAAGGTTCATATTCAGAACCTGTTGTGGGCTTTACTTCCGAGGATTTTAACAAGCTTGGACAGATCCTGGGGCGACTCTACTTTGCTGGCGAAGCGACGAGCGAGGATTGGTATGGTTTCATACAAGGAGCCTACTTTACAGGAGAAGAGAAAGGGAAACTGATCGCGTGTCAAATTCTCTCAAGTGACAGTGAATGTAAAGCTCCAGAAAAGGAAAAGCCGAAAAGCAAAGCAACGTTTGCGGCTAGATCTGCAGCTGGAGTTTTGGTGATTTCACTTTTGTGTTCACCTTTGTGGATTTAAACTGTATCACAGGGAGCTCTCACATCCGTTTAGAATATGAATAAAAGATTAACCTACCTTTATCGCGCGTGTTTTGTGGTTTGTGGCGGCCATTTTGAATTTTTTAATACGCGGTCTGCTAGTGCGAGGTCTGGAACCGAAATTACGGAAGTCCTGGGACGGGCGGGAAAATTTGCAAATTCTCAGAGGAGCCGATCGCTTACCGAGGATAATAAAGTGACTAAAGTGATATTTTCTTAGAGCTCCGAGCAGGCTCCAAGCGATTTCTGTAATTTTGGTTCCAGATCTCGTACTAGCAGACCGCGCGCGTGTTAAAAATTCAAAATGACCGCCACAAAACACAAAACACGCGCGATAAAGGTAGGTTAATCTTTCATTCATAGTCTAAACGGATGCGAGGGCTCCCTGTGCTGTAGTTAAACAATGGAACGTTTCAGTTAAGAAACTTGCGTCTAAAAGTAGAAGCTGGTGGAAATTCATATCTGTGACTGTAAATTTACGTTTAGGCAGTTGTAAAGGCTATGTAGTTTGTTTGTCCATTACAGAAAGGTCACTAGGTGTGTTGCACTGAGCCTTATGAAACGACACACACTTTTGTAATTAGGGTTTTCACTTTCATTTCACTTGCAAGTTTGTGATATTGAACGTATTGAAGTTATTAAAGCTGTAATCAACGTGAGTGCGGAATAGATCTTTTTGATATAGCCTGGCCAGTTTGTTGACCCATTTTAGATCATGTAATGATACTGTTGAGAATTTTGATGACCTGATTGATAATCGCACGGCAGTTATATACATAATTTAAAAGCAGTTGTGAAACTAAAGCCTGAAAAAAAAAAAAATTGAAAAAATTCAGGCTTGAACGCAGTTCAAATATAAGATCTTTCATATATTTACTTGTACTCTTGAGAATTCTTGCTTTCAAAGTTTAAAACAATAATAAATCTATTACAACGTGTATTTTGAATTTTTAGATTATAGCTACTGTTTACCCGTTAATGGAGCTGATCGTGCATTTTTTACATAATAAGTCAAATTATTCTCGTAAAATTAGCCACTCGCTTTTGTACCTACCACATTTTGACGTCATCTGCACCTTTGTCCCGGATGTTGTGCTGCCAGAGCAAAAAACCGCCCCTTCTCAGATGCAATATTTTCGATTTTTTATGCTGTATTTTAAGCCAACTAAAAGTCGGTGTTCCTATGTTTTCTAGGAAAATAATGCAGTTTCTAGGCCTTGAAAAACTGTTTAAGTATTCGCGCTCTCTCTCATGTGTCCTCTAGTGATTCTTTCTGACCTCAAGCGTGCATTATTAGGTAGCATTAGGTAAAGTCTGCATACGAGCGAAGTGGCCCATCAGGCCGGCACTTACCTAAGGTTTCCGGCTGTAGTATGAGGCGACTAAGAGTATTTCTACCTTCCCCTGTATGGGATGAATTAAACCAGCATTAAATTCGCCCGGCGCTACCCAGTTATACACCGGGGTTGAGAGTAGACTTCGAGCAGTCCCTCTTTCGCTTAGTCCGTCGTGCGTGACGCGAAGGAAAACCGCGAGAAAAAAAATGGCGAGCGGTATTTCGCGCGGCCATTTTCTTCTCGCGGTTTTCTTTCGCGTCACGCACGATGGACTATGCGAAAGAGGGACTACTCGTAGTCTAGGTTGAGAGAGGCACGGTGGGAGTAAGAGGCACGGTGAGAGCAAAAGCACCACACTGTCTCCGGCAGGGCTCGGACTCAGACCGCTCGGGGCACTAACGATGAGGCCACCGTACCTCCGTTGATTCTGTTTCGTAAACGGACGATGCCATCATTGGTAACCATGCCTTTCAGAATGGACGATGCCTGCTTTTTTTAGGCCTGGACAAGGTAGAAACTGGTTAAAATTCGTTGGTGGAGTCCAACGCACTCACCAAATGCTTAATTGTTTATATTCAAACTGGTTTGCTTGCGGTTAGCTTTTATTGGATGGTTGGGGCAGCTCTATCAATATTTAAGAAAGTCAGCTTTTAAAATTAAACTTGCGGAAATTTGGCGGATCAACCTGGTAGTATAGTGGTATAAGAGATCATAAGAGGGACGTTAGGAAACAGATGTTCCGAGTTCGATATTTTGCGGTTACTTACAAATTTTCCTTTTTCTTTAATTTAGTAGGGAAAAATTCGTTGAGAGTTAAAAAAATTTCCAAGTGTCGCGAAAATGGCATCGACCGTTCACGAAACGGACAACTGCTGCGCCTCCACATTATTTTCTTAAAGAACATGGGAAACCATCTGCCATTTGGTAAATACGAAATTAAAGTGGTTTCTTGGACAAATACTGATATCTAAATTTTATTAATTTCATAGTGAGGTAATGTCGCTCAATTATTTAGTAGCAGCTAGTCACTTTAAATTAGTTTCCTGGCTCTATGGCGACGGATTTCTTCGCGCCATTAGAAGAATGAAGAAAGAAAACCACTGAGATCCGGGTACCNAAAAAAAAAAAAATTGAAAAAATTCAGGCTTGAACGCAGTTCAAATATAAGATCTTTCATATATTTACTTGTACTCTTGAGAATTCTTGCTTTCAAAGTTTAAAACAATAATAAATCTATTACAACGTGTATTTTGAATTTTTAGATTATAGCTACTGTTTACCCGTTAATGGAGCTGATCGTGCATTTTTTACATAATAAGTCAAATTATTCTCGTAAAATTAGCCACTCGCTTTTGTACTTACCACATTTTGACGTCATCTGCACCTTTGTCCCGGATGTTGTGTTGCCAGAGCAAAAAACCGCCCCTTCTCAGATGCAATATTTTCGATTTTTTATGCTGTATTTTAAGCCAACTAAAAGTCGGTGTTCCTATGTTTTCTAGGAAAATAATGCAGTTTCTAGGCCTTGAAAAACTGTTTAAGTATTCGCGCTCTCTCTCATGTGTCCTCTAGTGATTCTTTCTGACCTCAAGCGTGCATTATTAGGTAGCATTAGGTAAAGTCTGCATACGAGCGAAGTGGCCCATCAGGCCGGCACTTACCTAAGGTTTCCGGCTGTAGTATGAGGCGACTAAGAGTATTTCTACCTTCCCCTGTATGGGATGAATTAAACCAGCATTAAATTCGCCCGGCGCTACCCAGTTATACACCGGGGTTGAGAGTAGACTTCGAGCAGTCCCTCTTTCGCTTAGTCCGTCGTGCGTGACGCGAAGGAAAACCGCGAGAAAAAAAATGGCGAGCGGTATTTCGCGCGGCCATTTTCTTCTCGCGGTTTTCTTTCGCGTCACGCACGACGGACTATGCGAAAGAGGGACTACTCGTAGTCTAGGTTGAGAGAGGCACGGTGGGAGTAAGAGGCACGGTGAGAGCAAAAGCACCACACTGTCTCCGGCAGGGCTCGGACTCAGACCGCTCGGGGCACTAACGATGAGGCCACCGTACCTCCGTTGATTCTGTTTCGTAAACGGACGATGCCATCATTGGTAACCATGCCTTTCAGAATGGACGATGCCTGCTTTTTTTAGGCCTGGACAAGGTAGAAACTGGTTAAAATTCGTTGGTGGAGTCCAACGCACTCACCAAATGCTTAATTGTTTATATTCAAACTGGTTTGCTTGCGGTTAGCTTTTATTGGATGGTTGGGGCAGCTCTATCAATATTTAAGAAAGTCAGCTTTTAAAATTAAACTTGCGGAAATTTGGCGGATCAACCTGGTAGTATAGTGGTATAAGAGATCATAAGAGGGACGTTAGGAAACAGATGTTCCGAGTTCGATATTTTGCGGTTACTTACAAATTTTCCTTTTTCTTTAATTTAGTAGGGAAAAATTCGTTGAGAGTTAAAAAAATTTCCAAGTGTCGCGAAAATGGCATCGACCGTTCACGAAACGGACAACTGCTGCGCCTCCACATTATTTTCTTAAAGAACATGGGAAACCATCTGCCATTTGGTAAATACGAAATTAAAGTGGTTTCTTGGACAAATACTGATATCTAAATTTTATTAATTTCATAGTGAGGTAATGTCGCTCAATTATTTAGTAGCAGCTAGTCACTTTAAATTAGTTTCCTGGCTCTATGGCGACGGATTTCTTCGCGCCATTAGAAGAATGAAGAAAGAAAACCACTGAGATCCGGGTACCAATACATATTAGAGACAGGTGGTTAACTAAACGCATGGCACATAGCATCAATCTATTTTATGACGTTTACGTCTTCTTTGATTTTATCATCACTAGAATTAATTTGACGGGCAAACAACACGAAAGGGTTAAGTTTTAACACGAAAATGATAATTATATGTAGACCTTATTGCAAACATCCGGGGAGCGAGCTCTGAATTTCAATCTTCTTCGTTTACAGGGGATTGTCATGGCGAGTAAAGAAGTCAGTTATGATCCAGAAAGAGATGTACTTAACAGAAACGAATAAATAAAGAGCCTTGTAAAATTTCACTGAAATCGATAACAGCCGGAGGCGAAAGTATCGTCATAATACACGGTAGAGTGAGTAAAAACAGCCCATTTAGTATTTTATGAAAATATTTACATTTGGCAGGTTCGTAGCTCTTCGTGAAACATTCTGCACGGCAAACGCACCGTGCCTTGTGGGAATATCATGGAGACGCCATCTTGTGAAGTACATGTGTTGCAGTACTTTCCCTTAAACACCGAAGTTAGAGACTTCCGTGCGACATACATCGCTAACTGTGTCGTCAGCTGTTTCCTGTGTTATAACGCCATTATGTTGAACATTGTGACGATCCACGCGATAAGGAAAACTTGCTTACCAAAGACTTTGAAGACATTGCTCTTAAGTCTGGCTGTTTCTGATGTTTGTGTCGGCCTATTGGGTCAGCCATTTTACATCTCTCTTCTGGTCAAAGGGCTACAACAAGAAAATCCAGACTGCAACACTTACATGGTTTTCGATCTGATGATGGGTCTCTTTCCCATAGCTTCGTTCCTGGGGGTCGTGGCTGTAAGCGTAGACAGGTTCTTGGCGATTCAGTTTCATCTCAGATATCAGGAACTTGTGACTTACAAGCGAGTTGTTGCTGTGGTAATCTCGATATGGCTGACGAGTTTAAGCTTCTCTTTGGTAGCGCTGTGGGTTCCGTCCGATGTTAAGTTCATAATTTTATACGTTGGCGGAGCTGTGGGTTTCCTTCTTACAACGGCGGTCTACATCAAGATATATTTAGTCGTACGTCGCCACAAGAATCAGATTCAAGCCAACCGTGTACAACGAGAAGCACAGGCGAGTTGTGAAACTGCGAGTTTTGCTAGCCTTCGAAAATCTGCAGTCGGTATATTTTATGTATATCTCGTGTTTTGGGTTTGTTATCTGCCTTTCTTTATCTCCATGGGCGCCAT